TTAACCAGGACTGCTGGTAAATGATGTAGTCATACCAACAGAGAATAAAAGTTTTGAATTTTGCCATTACAGAGAAATCAGGGCTCGGATATAACATAGGGGAGACTGTACTTTCTGATATAATTGAATGAGTATGGCTTGGTTCACTGATGTAAATCAATAGTTCAGCCGTGGTTTGAACAGGTGGCAGGTAGATGGGAAGAGTCACTCAGTCTCAGGAAAAGAGTAGAGCACTTTTCTGGCATCACTGACATCTTCCTAAAGTGAGTGGGAATCACCAGTGTTATAATACCCTGATAGCTACTGTACAGTGGAGATGATGGTAAAAATGAGAAAAAACATGCATGCAACCTAAGTCCTATTGTCTTAAGCTCCTGAGTCAGTTCTGAAACTCACTGTGGACTTTTGTAAATTTTAGTGATTTCCCTAAGCTATAAATTTGGAATATTTTTAAAGCTAAAACTTTAATCTAATTACAGAATCCAAGATTTTAAAAAAGGCTTAAGAATAAATTGAAATTAAATATTATGTCATTTATTGCATTTATTCTGGTAGTCATTGGACCTACCAATGTTCTAGTTTTTCTTAGAAATTTGGAATTCTACATACTTAACATATGGCTATGCGTATTAGGAACAGAGCCATAGAGTATTATTTAGTGCTACTGGAAAATTCTGTGACGACAGATCAATGTTTCCCAACACAGTTTTTCATACGTGGTTCTTACAGTGAAGAAATTTAAGCCTTATGTATGGTACTCAGCTGAAAAGAGGTACCTGCTGTACCTGTATCTAGGAAGGCTATTGGGTTGAAGGTGGCAACAATGTGCTTATTTTGCTAAAGCTTCATGGGAAATTGGATGGTATGTGCAGATCAAATTAGCAAGCCCATTGTTAGACAAAGGACTAGCAGTTGCCTGAGCTGTACTGTAAGGTTTTACTTGCCATGCATAATTAAAGACATGGTAGTCTATTACTGTGAAAGCAGTTAGGTTAGCCCAGGGTTAAGACAACACCATCCAAGACGCAGAAGTCAGGAGAAGGGGCGTCAGCACCTCAGTAGCTATTTGCCTAGTCGTTTCCATGTGCAGAGAAAATCTTAAGCTGACTTTGTTGAAGTTGGCATCACCTGACTCCCACAGACCTCAATTCTTGTCACTGTGGGAGGATGCCATACATAAACTGAGCTGACATGAATAAACAAGTGCAGTGTTCTGCCAGGAATAGTGCTAAGGTGATGATTGTGTGTCCTGCCAGCCTTTGAAAATATTCTTGAAAGTGTTTTCTGTGGTTTCCTAGGCAGGGACCTCACACAAATAAAACCAGGAATGCAATTTACCCCAAACCGTAAGCTAATATAGAGTTCAAAGAGAATAATCAATCAGAAAATGGAAAGCATTCTGAGGATAAATTTCTGTTTGCAGATGTTCTCTTTTCGCTCAATACTGTGCTGTAGGCATCTGGACTGTCTCAAATATTTTGCAACACAACTGTTGAGAGTATGTGGATTTGCTTGTAAGGGAAATTTTCAGTTTCCCTTCAAGAATGAATGAAAGTGACTCTTAGCTTTAATATTAGAGATATCTGGAGAAGAACATACCTAATCAATCTATAAAACTGTGTGTTTTTAAAAAGAAGACGAAGCCTGATCCACCTGCTAAACTTTTCATTACAAACACTAGCAATCCTATAAATCATATTTGGGCAGTACCTGGTACTCTAATATCACTGCAGAATATACTCCATGCCCCACTTGCTAGGTGAGAGGTCAGGAATGTGATTTTAATAACGTATGTGTAAGTGAGAAGGCTCCAGACATAGAGGTGGCAGCGGGATTGCAGTGCTGATGGGGAGAGCAGGGCAGTTCTTTTCCCCACTGGCAAGTGCTTATTGCTCTGTGTAAAAGAAATCAGACAAAACAGCAAAGGATTTTGTGGGTGTAACATACTGTAAATGTAGAGCCTTAGAGGCAACTTTTCCATTAGCAAATCGAAATAAAGTGGAATTAGAATAACACATTAAAACTAAATGTTGCTCAAAATACTGTAAGTATAGTGACTACTTAAATTCTTTCCCTAGCTGGAGTTGTCGAAGTCATCTTTTCACTTCATGTCTCTGCTAGCCTATGCTGTGCAGAATGACCAAGAAATTCATTGACCACTCTGTTTACTCTGTGTGACTGATGTCCTGTAATGGATTCAGCTAATAGGAACCAAATCTGATACTGTCAAATAAGATTAGCAGATTTGAGCTCTGTCTGACTGCCCAGTGGATAGGGGTCAGTGGGTTTCTTTTGGTATCTTGAGCAGGTTGGTGGTGTTGGATTTCGTATTCCACAATGGTCTTTGAGATTAGTCTGTGCTCTGTGGTGACCGTATTCTTCTCATCAAATTTATATTCAGGTAGCTCTGATTCGTTCTCCCATTTCTTTTGTCTTGTGAGCTCAGTGTTTCATTTGTGTAAGAGAAATGCAGAAGAAGAAACAAAAGCTTCTCAACATGCAGTTTTGAAGTTTGAGGATACCATAGAATTCCGAAAGTGTGTCTCTAAATTTACTGAGGCCATGGGAGTTCTAAGTATGTTTATGTGTCCAAATTGCGCCCACAATGTCCTGTACTGTGTCATTTGTTCCATTTTATCTTTAATATAAAACCGCATCCTG